GAAAATATGTCTTCTGAAATTTTTATACTTAGTCATGGCAGTAAAAGAATTCTCTCAAATTAAGGCACTAAAAGGGCAATGCGACGTCCACTGAAAGTGTTCTAAGAATAATTTACATTTCAAACAGTGCATACATTTCTTATATGTTAACTTAAATGTCTTTATCACTTAAAACCACAAAGAAATAACATTATACCATTATAGAACTGTACCCCACTAAATGCTTTTAAACTTGGTTCCCCTGTACAGTTTGTTCCTAATGTCTCCAGCTGTAAAATAACTCAATATGGCTTGGCAAAAATGCATAGATTAAGTGGAACTTTTGTTTTGCCTTCTCCCATTTCCCAATCTACAAACCTGTTGAAATACATATAGTATTTTGTAAAGCATAATGCAAATAAAATATTTAATTTATCCATCAAGTCCACCATATGCAATCAACAGTAAGGCTTTCAAATTCTACAGTGAGGGCACTGAAGTTCAAATGATGTTACTGCTTTTTAAAAATAGTTTTGTATAATCTTGCAAGAGCACAAAAACTTAAAAGTCATTTAAAAAACAAACAAAACCAAAAATAACAAAAGAAAACTTCAGTTTGTCTCATTTTGAGATATTTTCTTCACTCCTTCCACGAGCTGATCTTGATAGTGACGGCCATTCCACTTGGAAGTCAAAGTCTATTCCTCTCACTCGGAGGAGGAAAACTTTTATCATGATTGACAGGCATTTCTTAGAAATTCAAAAAGGCAGCACCTTTAAAAAAATATATATCTAGCTAAGCTTTTCCCCCAACTGTACTTGCATTAAATAGTAATAATTAATCTAAATCTACCTGTAGGCAAACCCGCAATAAAAAATCCCCTCAGTGTGCTTTTGTGCCAAAGCAAAGACAGAATACAGCAATCTCAACCCTGAAGCCTGTGATATTTGTGTCAAAGGAACAGCCTGTCTGCTCTGCATGGTTAAAGAAGCCTGGTTATCAGGTAGTGTCCCAGATTCCACAAGGCACCAGGGCACATGGTTAACTGTTGGGGGAAAAAACAAAGTAGTAAAATATAAGAAATGCATCAAGTTTAAGAACAAAAAGAAATAAACATAAATATTATTACATATAATAATTAACTATCCCAAATTTGGGAACTAGAGAAGCAAAAAATAAACATAATTTCAGATGCCTTTTTATGTGGATATAGTCCTACTTTAAATAATCTTAGTTCCAGCTTTTATCCTGCAACTCTCATATACATGTTTTTAGCATGTAACATAAATCTTTAAAAATGTAACTTATAATTTATGCAATCAACACTAAAAAGTAGCAATATAATTTACTTCAACTTTTTTTTATTACTGGATATTAAGATGACTCCTTAAATTTCTTGCTATTACAAGTAACACAAAAGTGAACATCACTCTGGTACTTTAATATTTGGTAAGCAGGATTTTAATTTCTTCCCTTTCTGAAAATTCATCTAAAAGGGAATATAGGTAAATTTAAACAATCTTGGATAAAAACAGAATTCCAATCCTGACTACACAACTAATTATTTATGTGACCTTGTGCAAGTTACTTCATTTCTCTGAGCCCCCTTTATTCAGGTAAATGTAAGTTCTTTTCAAAATAAAAGTTTAGTGATATCTATAACTGTTTACTAGAGAACATACATTTCAGAAAAATGTCCATTAAGAAAGGTCCTTAACCAGAAATGAATTTATTTGTATACCACAATTACTGATCACACCAAATGATTTAGATATAAAAACCACTGTGTCATGTGCCATGATAATAAAATTTGCTATGAGGAAAATATGAGTACCACATTTAAAAATATTACTTAACCTTTAAAAGGAATCAGCTAACTAGTTTATGAAGTAATGTCAAATTAGATTTATAAATGTTCTATATAATAAAACTGTTTTTAACAGACATTATTCAATCAGTATCATACACTGTTAAAAATATTTATTAGTATTTTAATCTGTACCTAGGTTTTCCTGATGTATTTTTGACCACTTTCCTGAATGACTGGTTTGCAGCAGATCTTGTAGAAAGTGTTCGAGGAGATGCACGAACAAAACCAGATGGTGGATTCTTAGGAATTTTCTTCACTAAATGAGTTACCCATTTCTTTTGTTCATCCTGAGAACATGCTAACAGCAGCATATCTCTTGCTGATGTTACATCATAACTTACTATATTAAGATAAAAGAAGTATAATTAAAGTCACATATATTTTTAATGTATTTAAAAAGGTATTTTAAAAATTATTAGTAAGTGCACAAATTTTTAAGTTGTCAAGGTTTGGAGATTTATTAAATGCTTAAATGAACTTGGACATTATTCCTTTCTCATTAATTAAGGCTGAAAATTTAAACAGAAACATTAGTCATAACCTAATAAGAAAAAGAAAATAAAATCAGAGATGAAAAAAAATGCAAAAGTGAATTGAATGACGCCACAGAATACAAGATTCTTATTCTAAAATTTAAATATTCTCAGCTCTTTTCCTCAAACTTTCTCTGCGAAACTAGAAGATATTTTAAACTGCTGGTCCATGCAGTCAAAGGCAGATCAAAAGAAATAGAACGTCAAACTCAAGGGCAGAATACAGCAGAAGTTACCTAGAACTCTTCAATATTACAATGACTTCTTACTGACATGTGTTTTCAAGGGGGTGATCTTTTTTAAAAAATTATTTTAAAAATTATTGTGTGTGTGTGTGTGTGTGTATACCGTCAAATAGGATCTGACGGGTACAGGAGGAGATTGCCCCTCCTTCTCCAGCAGAGCATCTGGTGGATTTGAACCGCTTAAGTCTGGGATTGCAGTGCAGCTTCTTGCCTCTAGGCCACCAGAGCTTCCTAGGGGGTGATCTTTTAAAATATTATAATCAAAGTTACATCTGTAGCTGTGTAAAGAGCTTTGTGCTGTCTAGTGCCAGAACAGCAAGCTATGGTGGTCAAATTCATAGGAAATTGCACTGTAGCAAAAGGCTGCGTCTCTGAGACCAATGACTCCACAGGCAGTCTCCTCCTGTGCAATTTACAGCCTCGAAAACCTAGTGCGGGGTGAGCTATAGCTCTGATTCAATGGCAATGAGGTTTTCTGAGTGCCAAAATAAGCCCTGCTGACATTATGGCTAAGTGTTCAACTTTTAACCACAAAGTTTGTGGTTCAAAGTCCATGGGAGAAAAACCTGGCAATGAGTTTCCATAAAACATTCCAGCCAATAAATCTCTATTATGAAATTATATCTGGTCATGTTTGTACTTCCAACTATGAGTTGGAACTGATTTGCTAGCACTAAGCAACAACAATGTGAAAAAATTACTACTGTTATGTTTTTAACTTAATACAGTAAATGCTACACTTAAATAATTCATTTACTTTTTTTGCAAGTTGTAAAAAGACTTCTTGAACATCTTACCTTTACAAGGAGAAATCAAATCCTCTTTCTTATCTAAGTGATCTCTGTGACACTTAACATGGCATCTTCGACATTCTAGGGCAGGAGGTGGCTTAAAAACATGCCAGAGAGGTTTGGCACATGCCTCACAGTTGGCTGGAAAGTGGTAGAGTGTTGGAATGAACTCATGGCCTTTGTGATTTTGAAAATTAGTTCTTTCAGCTTGTTGTACTGGTTCCATCTCTACTTCTTTTCTACATTCACCTTCGTTTGCATACAGTATCTATGTTCAGAAGTGTCAGGAGGAGAAAAGATTTTTTTTAAAGAGAGATTTTAATCTTTACAACAAGTTTCAAACTGTATGTATATAAAAACTTGGTACATTTTACCCTTACCTAGCAAGACATCCCCAATATTTAGGTAAAGGATGTTTTAAAGTTGTAATTTCAGATTTTTACCTGGAATATCTTGGGAATTTCTTCAGTTTCAGCTCTATACACATCTCCTTGGGTTACAGGTCGAACATGAAACAGTTTACTAAAATGAGAATACATTATATAGGTGATTAAAAACCCTCACTGACAGTTAAAGACATGAATAGACATTCCAATGATGTCAACAAAAAGATGGGCAAACACATGAAGCTGTTCAACATCATCAGTACCTAAGGCAATGCAAATTAAAACTAGAATCAGATATAAAGTTACACCTATGAGAATGGCTAAAACCAAACACCGTGACAGCACCAAATGCTGGTGAAGCTGAAGAGACTTGATCACTCATCCACTGCTGGTGAGCCTGAAGTACTAAACTGCTACTTTGGAAAGGGTAAAATATCTAGACATCTTACGTATACCAAAAAGATGAAAATTTATGCCTAGGCAAAAATCAAGCATGAATTTTCATACCAGCTTTATTAATACACAAAACTGGAAAACAACTCAAAAGAATGATTATGTAATCTGTACTGTAACACATTCACACTACAGACTTGTTAGGTGGTGTAGAGTCACATACAACTCATAGACACTCCATGAACAAGAGCTCTGACGATCTCTCTCATATGCTTAAGCCCATCCTGACAGTCATTCAGCAATTAAAAAAAACACCCAACAAATGGCAACAGAAATGTATCTCAAGGGAAGGATGCTAAGTGAAAATAGCCAATCTCAAAAGGTTATATATTGTATGATTCCATTTACATAACATCTTTAATACAATAAAATGATAAAACTAGAGGTAGATTAGTGGCTGCCCGAGATTAGAGAAAGGTGACCTAGATAGACAGTCTATAGCTGTAAGAGGAATCCTTGTGCTGGAATTGTTGTTTTCACTGTAGTGGCAGGTCATATAACTCTACAGATGTGATAAAATGGCAAAGAATTAAGCATGTACACTATAAATATAAGCCACTTCACCATTATCTCCATATAATTCACGAGTAATGATGTTAGTCTAAAGACAAAGGTTTGTATGATTCAAACCATAGTCACTTGCTATGTACATGAGATCTAGATGAAAGAAGATTAATGCATTTGAGCTGTGGAGATGGGAGAGTATTGAATATCTCATGGACTACAAAACAAAACAAAAAACCCCCAAACATGTATATCTTGAAAAAAAGATGCAGCCAGAGTGCTTCTTGGAGGCAAGGATGATAAAGCTTCATCTAATACTTTGGGCATGTTACCAGAGAGGCTATTTCTTGGAAAGTGACATCATGCTTGGAAAAATGCAGAGTCACTGAAGAGAGGAAGACACTCAATGAGATGGAATGACACCATGACTACACCAATGGCTCAACTGTTATCACAGACCGTGGATGGCACAGGATAGGGCAGGAGTCAGATCTGTTTTTCATAGGATCGCTATGAGTTGTACTTGATTTGACAGCGCCTAACAATGTAACAAAAATATTTCAAATTAGAGTGAAACACTTTGTTTATTCATTATCTGTAGGTGGAAATGGTTTCTGCTATTTTCGCCTACTGGGTATAGTGCTGCAAAGAGCACCATGTTTGCATTTCTGCCCTCAATTCTTTTGGATATATACCTACAGTTGGGGATTGCTGGTCCTATATATCATTCTCTCGAGGATTTGTCCCTCTATACCATTTTGCATTCTCTCCAGAGATTGAGGGATCCAGTTTACTTACTTATTTAGATCATAGTCTTTTTAGGAGCTGTGAAGTCCCTGGGTGATATGTAAAGTTAACACATTTGGTGCTAGCTAAAAGGCTGGAGGTTAAAATTCATCTACAGAGGTATCTTGGAAGAAACGAAACAAAAAATCATCTATTGGAGATCCTGTGCAGCAGAACTCTGCTCCAACACATGCAGAGTCATCAGGAATTAGAACAGAGTAGATAGCAAGTAATCTCCAAAGTGGCAGATCTCTGTGGTTTTGTTTTATATCTCCCGAATAACTAAAGGGATTCTGAACCTGGCTGGCCTCGCGGTTTTACTACAAGTAAAGGGGACCAACTGCAGGCCTCCGTGGGCTGGGGCTTCCAGTTAAAATAGTTTTGGGCCCTCGGGCCAAGAAAACAAAAAATATGCACCAGTCCTAAAGGACACATCTGAAACTGTTCTCTTCCATCAGCACCTTGCTGCAAATGGAGGAGAAGAGGTATTAACCCACATGAAGTCAATCCTGGAGTAGAAGTTCAAGACAAAGGACTTTTTCTCAGAACTGTCTGAGATAGGAAGCCTTGATACTTGTACCTGATAGATGTACTTAGAGACTCTTAAATTCAAGAGATACTAGCTGCATCGTGAGAGACTGGCAGCAGCATGAGGTGTTCAGAATCACAGAAACCCCAATGGCTTGAGACTTATGCCATAATACCAATGGCTAGTTAAGGGGAGAGAGGTGTTGAATGGTGTAGGTGGAAGTAGAAAGGGATGTTGTTGGAGTAAACAAAGGGGTGGATCAAGAAAACCATGGCAGGGAGCTCAGGTGGCCTAGTGGCAACAAATTGCACCGCAATCCCAGAGGTACGCAGTTTGAATCCACCAGATGCTCTGCTGGAGAGTCAATCTCCTCCTGTACCAGTCAGATCCTATTTGACAGTACACACAAAAAAATAAAAAAAAAAATAATTTAAAAAAAGTAAAAAAAAAACAACCCCAAACCATGGCAAGGGTGGGTAGCAATATTGAATCTATCAGTCATTTCTCTAATTGGGTAAATATCTTTCACCTGTCCTTTTCTGTAAAATGCTTGTCTGTCAGATACTATAATTTAAAAAAAAGACATCATAGGAAGAAGGATTGGCCATCCACTTTTGAAATAATAGGCCTTCGAAAACCCTATGTACAATACAGCACACTTAGACTAGCAGCCATGGCAAATCAGGCCGAGATCTCAGATATGGAAACACAAAGGAGGAAGAACAGCTGTAAGCAGACACTAGCGACTGGAACGTGAAATGTGAGAAGCATAAATGTAGGAAAAGTGAATACTGTTAAACAAATGGAACACATAAATACTGACATACTAGGTACTGGCAAAGTGAGATGGCTTGGCATGGAACATTTTGAATCAGATGATTGTATGATCTACTATGCTGAGGACGAAAAGGTGAGGAAAAAAATGGGGCTGATTTCATAATTAAAAAAGTCTTATCTAGATCCATCATGAAATACAATATGGTGACAGGATAATATCCATACGCTTACAAAGAAGTCCAGTGAATACCACTATCATTCAAATAAATGCACCAACAACCAGAGCCAAAGAGGAGGAAACAGAAGATTTCTACCAACTTTTGCAGTCAGAAATCAATTGAACATGCAATCAAGATGCATTGATAATAATGGTTGACTTGAATGCAAAAGTTGGGAACAAGGAAGAAGGATCAGTAGCTGGAAAACATGGGACTTGGTGACAGAAATGAGGCTAGAGATAGAATGATAGAATTCTGCACATTCAATAATTTATTATTCACTGCAAATACCTTTTATACGAAACATAAATGCAGGCTATACACATGGATTTCCCCTTATGGTATACATAGGAATCAAACCAAAATCGTTAGAGAAACTCAGTATCAGCTGTGAAAATCAGGCCAGGTGTTGATTGTGGAACAGACCACCAATTACTCATATGCAAGTTCAAGCTGAAGTTTAATAAAATCAAATCCGACGCTGCACTGCAATCCCAGAGGTATGTGGTTCAAATCCACCAGATGCTCTGCTGAAGGAGGGGGGCAATCTCCTCCTGCACCAGTCAGATTTGATTTGATGGTACACGTAAAAATAACACAATAAAAATAAAAATTAAAATAAATAAGTAAAATAAAATCCACAGGAACCAAAGTTTGACCTTAAGTCTAACCCACTCAAATTTCAAAACCATCTCAGGAATGGGTTTGAGGACTTGAGCACCAATGAGCGAAGACTAAATGAGCTGTGGGAGGATATTAAGAATATCGTCAATGAGGAATGCAAAAGAGCATTACAAAGGCTGCAGAGGAAGAAAAGATCAAGATGGATGTCAGATGAGACTCTGAATATTGTATTTGAGCGCCGAGAAGCCAAAGCTAAAGGAAAAAAATCAAGACATTAAAGAGCTGAACAGAAAATTTCAAAGAGCAGCTCTGGATGACAAAGCAAGAAATTATAATGAAATGTGCAAAGAGCGGGAGCCAGAAAATCAAAAGGGCTGAACTTGCTCAGCATTTTTTAAGCTGAAGAAACTGAAATACAAATTCAAGCCACAAGTGGCAATACTTAAGGATGCTTTGGGCAGAATGTTGAATAATCCAAGAAGATGGAAGGAGTATACAGAGTCACTGTACCAGAAGGAAATGGCTGACACAGAAGAATTTCATGAAATAACATATGAGCAAAAGCTTGTGGTGATGAAGCAGGAAGTTCAAGTTGCTCTGAAAGAACTGGAAAAAACAAGGCTCCAGGAGTTGACAGCACACCAGTTGACATATTTCAACAAACAGATGCTGCCCTGGATATGCTTACTAAGTTGTGCCAAGAAATCTGGAGGACAGCCACCTGACCAACTGACTGGTAAAGATTGATATTGGTTCCCATTCCAAAGAAAGGTGACCCTCTGAGTACGGAAATTATAAAACAATATCATTAATATCACATACAAGCAGGATTCTCCTGAAAATTATCCAAAAATGACCGGAGCAACACATCAACGGAGAAATGCCAGATGTGCAGGCTGGGTTTAGAAGAGGCCGTGGTACTCAGGATATAATAGCTAATGTTAGATGGATCTTGGCAGAAAGCAGAGAGTATCAGAGAAATGTGCTTCATTGACTCTGCAAAGGCTTTTGACTTTGTGGATCACAACAAACTGTGGCTGACTGAGAAGAATGAGAATCCCAGAACATCTGATTATGCTTATGTGAAATCTATACTTGAATCAAGAGGCAGTCATCAGAACAGAGGAAGGAGATAATGTATAGTTCAAAATCGGGAAGGGTGTCCACCAGGGATGTATTCTGTCTCCATACCTTTTCAATCTGTATGCAGAACTGATTATCCAATATGAAGAGGAATGTGGCATAAGGATTAGAGGAAGATTCATCAACAACCTGCATTATGCGCATGATACAACTTGGCCTGTTCAAGCTGACGAGGACCTGAAGCGCTTGTTGGAGAAAGCCAAAGACTGTAGCTTTCAATATGGATTGAAGCCCAACATCAAGAAAACAAAGATTCTCACCATCGGGCCATTTGGTATCATCATTACGGATGGTGAAGAGATTGAGATATTTAAGTGTTGGTTTCCTTGGCTCCTTTATCAATGCTCTTGGTACCAGCAACCAAGAAATCAGGAAATGAATAGTATTTGCAAAGTTAGCTGTCAGGGACCTCTCCAGAGTACTTAAAAGCAACAACATCAATCTGGAGACTGTAGAGGCCATACTCTTCGCATGTGCTATGCGTCAGAGAGCTAGACAGTCACTAGAGATGATAGAGAATTGATGCTTTTTTTTTTTAATTATTTTTGTGTGCGTGTACCGTCAAATCAGATCTGACTGGTACAGGAGGAGATTGTCCCTCCTTACCCGGCAGAGCATCTGGTGGATTCGAACCGTTCGCCTCTGGGATTGTAGTTGCAGCTCCTTGCCACTAGGCCACCAGAGCTCCCCTAGAATTGATGCTTTTGAGCTGTGGTGCTCGAGGAGAGTGTTGGACTGCTAGTGGAGAACAAACAGGTTTGTCCTGGAGAGGATGAAACTGGGCTGCTCCTTGGAGGCAAGGATTCTAAAAGCTTCATCTAACATACTCTGGGCATGTTGCAAGAAGAGACTAGTCCTTGGAGAGGGACATGATGTTTGGGAGGGTGGAGGGACAGTGCAGGAGAGGAAAACCCTTGGTGAGATGGATCGATTCAGTGACAGGGGTAATGGGAGTAGGTGAATGGGAGTAGACAGTGAAGTTGGCATAGGATAGAGCAGGGTTTAGGGATCTTGTACATAGGGTTACTATGAGTCTCAAGAGACTACGGCACATAACAATAACAACAATCTAAAGGGGGAACTCTGGGGGCCTAGTGGTAAGAAGTAGCACTGCAATCTCAAAGGCACATAGTTCAAATTCAATAGCTGCTTTACAGGAAAAAAATGAGCTACCTTCTGTGTAATTAAATGCCTCTGAAAACTCACTGGAGGGTCAGTTATGGGTGGGTTCTGACTTGACAGTGCACAACAACAACAACAACAGAAGGAGTTTGAGTGGTGTAGCACATTACATGCTGTGCTAACCATCAACTGCTCCAAGGGAGAAAGACAGACTGCCTCAACATGGAACGATTCACAGCCTTGGAAACCTGATGACAGGCCACTGTGAACTACAAGTGACTGGATGGCAGTGGGTTCATATGCTTGTGGTGTATTGTCTTTGATGAAATGTGTATTCAAGTTCCTTGTACATATTTTTGATGACTTTTCATGTTTAGTTGTAGATATTCTTTGCATATTCTAGTTGTTAAATAAACTCATAATGGGTACATGGTCCTTAAAAGTTTTCTCCCAATATATAGGTTGCTTCTTCATTTTGTTTAAAAAGAAAATCTCAGGTACTAAAAAAAAATTATTTTTTGGTCATGTCAAAGAAGCCACTGTCAAACAGTAGGCCCCAAAGAATCAGGGAATAGTGAAGAGTTTTACAGAAAAGTCTCTTCTTTCCCCATTGAATAGACTTCCTTCTACAAAGCAACTGACCAAAGAAGGTAGATCTGTGAAACAGGACTCTGAGTTCCATTTCATTGGGCTGTATGTCTATCATTAGACCATCATCATGATACTGTGATTATTGTCATTCTATGGCATGTTTTAAGAGAAAAATGTGAGGGCTAGCTTTTCCATTTCTGCAAAAATTGATATTGGCATTTCTAATAGGAGAATTCACTCAATTAAGATTGCTTTGGGTTAGTACGGAATTGATATATATATATACATAAAAAATAATATATGTAAAATATAAAATTTTATATATACATAATATATATATAAAAATACATTATTTCTTGCAATCAATGAACAAGAGAAGAAATGTCCTTCCATTTATTTAGGTCTCACATTTCTTAAATGTTTATAGTTTTCGGTGTACAGTCTCTTCCTAACCCTAGCTTCCTGGTGGCACAGTTGTTCAAATACTTGGCTACGTGAAGGCCAGAAGTTCAGATCTGCTAGCTACTCTCTAAGACATAGATGTGGTAGTTTAACTATTCATTGTCTTGGAAACTACTATAGTGTTTTATTGTCCCAGTTAAATTTATTTTTGGGAAGCTATTATTTTAGATGCTGTCTAGTGCTTTAACATCCTTAAGGATATTAAAAAAGGTAAGTAAAAAGTATCTAAACACTTGAAGGATAATATCTTTTAGTGTTTATGAGTTACTTAGATTTTTTTAATTTAGGTTAGTAATTTAGCTTTCCTTAAAATGGGAAATGTCAGTGTTTGTTTAGTTTATTCTCAGTTTCATAGAGATTTCATTTTAAACTAATGATGATACTTCATTTTAATTTTCTGTTTTTCTGGAACAGCATATACCACAACTTGCTTTGAATTTACATTTTTCTGTACACATGCCTTATTTTTTAGTACTAGATGGAAATACAAAAACCTCTGCCACGGAGTAGATTTTGACTAATGACTACTCTACCAGGTTTCTGAGCTGTTATCTTTTTGGGAGCAGAATGCCCATCTTCCCCCCAAGGAGCAGTGAGTGGATATGAACTGCCAACCTTTCAGTTAATAGCCCAACATGCTCAACACATAACATACCAGGGCATTTACTTACTTTACACATTCTACCTGAGATGACAACCTAAGATAAAACAGGCAGCCACATTCAAATAATATTTTTAGAATGAAAACAACAACAAAAGAAACCACCCCTACCCAAGTTATTACCTGTTACTTTGACCTATTAGAAAAAAGAACAGCTTTCTTTCTTAATGTTAATGGCCAAATGTACTTCTTAAATGCTATCTCAACTGAAAACCACTACATGGGAACAAAAGTTCGTTTTAGAATTAAAAAAACTTACTATCTCGAGTTGGTTCCGACTCAAAAGTGAGCTTCTATGAGGTTTCTGAAGCTAATTTTAATGGGAAGTGATTGCTTATCTGTCCTTTAATAACTTTTGATTAACAGACCAGTATGTTAGGTACATATATCAATATTTTATCCCACTCACATTTTGCTAAAGATTTACTGAGTTAATATTTAATTTGCTTAAGAAAAAATATTTTAAAAGTAGGTAACACTGTTTAATAACATGAAAGCTTTTGGAAAATGGCTGCCAACTACAAGTAAAGTTAAAAATAGGAAATTATCTAAATTATAGCTGACTTATAAATTGATCAAAAGCCACTTACTCTATGTCTAATACCATACATGGGTTGGATTGTTCCTTTTCTTGTTCATCATTATAGAACAAAATCTTTTTGCTGCTTACCACAACATACTGAAATGAGAAAAAAGAGGAAGAGTTACAAGAGCAACATTAACTTGGTTCAAAACAACAAGCATAGTGTTTGCCATGGATGTCTACGTAACATTATCATTAATCAAAAATCAATGCTAATACACTGGTTAATGTAAGCCCTTTGTATTAAAATGAAAATGCCAGTTTTTTAAAATGAGGCATAGAATACCTGTTTTTTCCAGCCATATCGTTTGATATTTCCTCTATTTGGTATTGAAAGCCAACCTTCAATTCTTGACTCTAGGATGAAAAGAATATTTAACAGTCCATCTTATATTTTAACAACAAAGAAACTTTTACAAGTTGTCTGACAGCATGCAGCAACAAGCACTTGAACACAGCTAAATGAACAGATGCTGTAATATGCTCTCTCATGCTTCAATCACACAAATTAACTTTAATGGCCATACAAATTGCAGAAAAAATTTTCAAGCCACCTTCCCATAAATTAACGTTTAACATTCAATTATAAAATATAAAGTAACAATAACCTTAAGAGCCAGGCAAGACTGGAATGGATTGCAGCTTAAATGGGATATGACACAGATGTCTGTAAATATCATTTAACATTCATATAACATTTAGCAAAACAAAAAATTATGCAGCAAGTGGAACGAATCAGAGCCACAATTTACACAAGAAAGAGCAAGCAAAAGTATAGAAGTGTCCTATTACTCACAGAAGATAAGAATAGAAGAGAAATAAATAAGGAATGCAGGCAGAATCAACTAGATATAAAGAATAAGAAACAAGCATTTTATTTGCTTTCTCAGGATCATATTCTGATAAATTTTTGGTAAAATATAACAACAAATTATGCAAAGTTAGCTGCATAGTGGTGATAAGTAATTCTGGTTGTTAAATCCAATTATGATTATTCTTGAACTAAAGAGTTGTAAGCAGCCTTTCAAATTTGTTACTAGAACTTAATAAGCAGTAAAAAAAAAAACAACTGCTTTTAAGTCCAAGAAAACTGCTTGTCAACTGCTGTATTTCAAGCTATTTGTATACATTGGGAATTCCTTAACCAAACTGATCAAGGTATTTAAAAACAGACATCACTACTGTATGAAGTGTCATTAATGATTGTTAGAAATATCTGAAGGGGGAAAAAAAGAGTCCATTAGAAATGCATGATCAGGTTAGAGAGGAATATTCAGTCAAGACAAGTATTTTTTATATTTATTATATAACATACAAAAAATCCCCAGTAATCAACTTTTAGCAATGAAGAGACTCAGGTTTAGCTGAGCAAACTAACTTGACAAATATATATATACTCTGTTATTAACCACAGAAGTTGGAGAGTTCAAACACAGGTGGTCTAATTTTGGAGCTTAAGTTCTTAGTACACAATGGGACCATGTTATTTCCATCCCAACTTCTACTAGATATTTTGTGTGTGTGTGTGTGTGTATGTGTACCATTAAATTCGATCTGACTGGTACAGGAGATTGCCCCTCCTTCTCCAACAGAGCATCCGGTGGGCTTCTGCCACTAGGCCACCAGAGCTCCCTTGTTTTGTATACCCAAGGCCAGTTGGCATGTAGAATGTATGCTTGATAAACGTTTGATTATTTAGCTATCTTCCATTCTGAATATGCCAATTTCTTTCTCTGTTTCCATTTAAAAGACAAAAGTTTTACACTTAAATAAACATACAGAAAGCTGCTGAGCAAGTATTGCTCATTCTTTTTATTTTATTTTATCCTATGAAAGCACAAAAATTATGGTTAGGAAATTTTCTTTTAATCTAAGTGCCAAAAATTCAATTGCTGATTTAAAGTATGGTCTATAAAACATAAAGATGAATGAGAGTTGAAATAAAAAGTAGTTCTGAGATTAAGACTAGTAATATTCCCGAGCCTATTTAATAGAAGGAATTCCTTATTGAAAAACTGACAGAAATTTTTAGTTATACAAAACTGTCCATTTCAAAATAATCTCTTCCCAATTATTTATGTATGTAAATGACTATCAAAACTATTTTTACGTTGACAATGAGGAGACCCAGGAATTATGACTTCTTTATAAAAATAAAGACTAATGCATTAAAAAAAACAAAACAAAAAAACCCCAAACAAACAAACAAAAAACCAGAAAAAAAAAACCCCAAAAAACTATTTTTACTTTTTACTCTAGATTTGGGCTGACCTACCAGTGTTTTTGTTAATACTTTTTAAAACGTTTTTGTTAATACATGTTTAAGGTGCTGGTAAGTATTATGATTTTATCTCAGTGCAAACCTGAGATTTAGGTCATCTCACAGTATCTATGATGATGTTGTATACTGCTTTCAGAGGCAGTCACACAGGAGATTACCCATCCTTCTCCTGCAGAGCAGTCAGTGGATTCTAACAATGTGCCTTCGAGATTGCAGCACAGCTTCTGACCACTAGGCCACTATAGCTCCTTATAAAGTTTCTAGGAAAATTTTTTATATATCTGGGAGATCTGGTGGCCTAGTAGCAAGAAGCTGTGCTGTAATTCCAAAGGTGTGGCGTTCAAATCCACCATATGCTCTGCTGGAGAAGGAGGGGGAATTTCCTCCTGCGCTAGTCAGATCTAACTCAACGGCACATAACAAAAGATAAGAAGAAAAAAAAAAGAAAAGAAACCATTAAAAAAATAATAATAATTTTATATGTCAAAGATATCTAATGATCTAAACAGGCTGATTTTGTATTTTTTTTCCAATTTTAATGAAGCAATCAAGAACTCAAAGGTGTGAAAATATATGAAAGTTTTTATTTCTTTAAAACAATAATGAAATTAATTTTAGTGTCTTTTCTAGTGAAATTTCCTCAAAGAACTACTAAGTGCTGTGATTATGCATTTTTTTTTTTAAAAAAAAGGTATTTGCTTTATTGTTTCTCTTCCATACTCTCATTTTAGATGCAAGTTAATATATCCACCAATTTTCTATTCAGGGAAATGTGTGAGAGCCGGCACTGAATGGGTCTCACCACATTTTAACCACTTTTTGATCAGGCATTTACCAGTGACCTCTGACAGGCTTCTACTCTGTACAAGTTCCATTTTTTTGCAAGTTTACTGTATCTATAGAGCATGATCACTTGTAACTCTAAGTCTCAACTGGAAAGCGTAATAATCTACATTCAATCTTTTTATAAAATAAATACAGAAATGAGCTTTTCTAGGTCTGTAAAAGAAATGAATGTCAAATATTTCTATGTAGGAATGATCATCAATAAAAGGCCATACAACTTGGCTTATGATTTTATATACTTGTAACTTTAACTTATAAAAAAAGTTAAGTGTTGGATAGGCTTATCAGTCATAAAAGGGGAATTTCATGTAAATGAGTATCCTATATAACCAAATTAGATTTCTATGTAAATGATCAAAGGATTTTTTTAAAAAATTTCAACAGTCTTCTTATAATTTTAGGTCAAACATCCAAAAGTAGGAAAGAGAGACGAGTTGTCCTTATCATCTAAAATGACAGGCAAGCTGTAATTCTAAAGGTAATCTCTTTATTTCCACAGCATGCTAGCCTACAACCCACCACAGAACCAAAGGGAGGAGAGAGAAGGCAAATGACTGCAAGAAGGTAAGAAGTTAGAGAGGTCACAGCTCTAAACAAATTTTTAGAAATGAGAAACTTACAGAAGAGTTTTCATTCAATTAGTGGCACAGTACCCAGAGAGATTATAGAGAGAGAACTCTGTATCTACAAGTTACTTAAGAGAATCTTCATATCATGTGGTGAAATAAAGTAATACACCCAGGGTGCTCTTTGGAAGCAAGAAATGATGAGGCTTCACCTCACATACTTCGGGCAAGTTGCTAGAAGGGGTTATTCCTTGGAGAAGGACATGATGCTGGGAAGGTTGGAGGGTCGGCAAAGGAGAGAAGACCCTCAACCATGTGGACTGACAGTGGTTGCTGCAATGGGTTCTTGTGTGTCAGGAAGTGTGAGGGTGGCACAGGACAGATCAGGGTTCAGATCTTTTTTAATAGGATCACTATGAGTTGTACTTGACTTGAAGAAACCTAACAACAACAATCACCACGACAACCAAAGACTTGGTATTAGTCCATCTGTTTTATAAACTATTGCATGGAACTAGGTTCTCTATTTCAAAACTCATTCTTTTAAATGTTCAGTAAACTTTTTAAAGCCTATAACTGAAACTTAATACAGGCAGTCACCAACTTTTGATGCAGTAATGGAAAAATGTAGGCAAGAAAACACTTCAATCAGAATGTTTTAACAGAAGAGACTGACAGAAAAATCTTTCATAAGGCCAACAGTGCTGAAATTAAATCTTAGTATCATTGATGTAAAACAGCTAACAGATAATGGAGTGATCTGACAGACCAGAGCTGAATGGATCTGAAGGAAAAGAAATATTGGGCGAGAAGTAATGCAGAGGAGGAGAAAAGTTATGAAAAAAAATTTAGGGTGAAATAAGTAGCTGGAGTTTTCTTAAGTTAAATCAGGATTTTTCAGTTGCTTGAAAACAAGGATCCAAACACTGATCAAACTGCCAAAATCAAGAGGCAAACTCAGGAAACAGTGAGATGTTATGGCAAAACATACTAAAAACAAAGATTTTCTTCCATATATCATTCTCATTAGAAATGCCATCCCCTTAAAAAAAAAAAAAAGAAAGAAATGCCATCCCCCATTCCCTGGATAATTCAGGTATCTAGAACCTTCCATAAGTGCAGCATTACTGCAACTGATATAACACCAAAGTCACCCCAACTCTCCATAATGAGAGTACATTTTTATGACTGTGGACTTAAAAAAGTATGTAGGTATTTAGGTAAGCTTGTATGTGATTATGTTTCCAACTTCCAAAAACAAAGATCAGATTTATGAAGACAGTGATAATAAAAGGCAATACCTGACTGTGGGATACAGAACAGCACAAAAGAATACAGGCAGAATTTTATTTTACATAAGTGTAGTCCATTTCCTTGACCAAGAAGATTGAACACAATTTTCTAAATATAAAATTCTTCTGTTATCAAATTCTCTGAAGAGTTAAGTCATACTTTCTTGACCAAGAAAGCATAGCATTTTCTATTTATGCGTTATTCAAGCACTGTATTACTAATTCAAATATATTTTTAAGTTTACCACTGCATTAATAAAACTCGGGCTATATAACATGTAAAATGTTTACCAAATTCATTGGCATTGAGTCAGAAATGACCCTTCAGCAGTTTTCCAAAGTTGTAAATTACATAGAAGAAGGCTGTCTCCCTTTCTTCTGCGGAGCAGCTGGTCAATGTGGGACCAAAGGAGAGGCATGGCCTGTGTGTCAGCAGTGCAACTCCCTATGGACTATGCCACCAGAGGGCCTTCAAATATGTTACGTGTGTGTATATTTGTAATCTGTAATACACATGTCAGTATTTATAATTTACTTTTTAAACTATATATAACATGTGTATTGGCCATCTCTTATTAAAAATAAATAAAATGTACCATCTATTTCAATAGTTAACAACAGAGTGAGGCTGTGCTTATTTTAGAATTGTTTCTCCATTGGTGGAGGGGCAATAGATAAAAAGGTCTCAAATCCTAGTCACTCACTTTTGCCTGGGATTCCTCTTCCCTGCCTGCACCTCCCAAACCTCTTTTATCTAGTCTGCATATTTGAAACTTAAATGTGATTCAAGTTGGTCGCTCTCCATTAAATAGGCTTTTATATATGGCTGGTGACTATAAATATATGCGTGGATATGATTAGGAATAGTCCTTAGTTTTAGCATAAAAATATTTAATATTGTAAGAGTCACAACTCATGAAGACAAGTAAAATTTTCTTAAATATTTAAAGATATCACTTTGACTCTCTTCATGGAGTTAGACTACTAAATATAGTTTCATAAACTTTTGACTTCTTTTCCAGTAGAAATTTGCAAATTATTTTAAGAGCTCTACATTGCCTGTAATGGATTTTTAAAAAAAATACATTATATAATTATCTTCAGGCCTTGTCTACAAAGAGGTAGAAAACAACAGAAAGATACAAATTCATTTCCATGATATTAAGTCTACTTGAATCAAGTAACAGAAATATTCTTACCTGGAAGGCTGCCATCAGTTTCATCAGCACTGGGAAAACTAGCAACACTTGTAGAATCCGAAAGATCTAAAAGTTTAGCCCGCAACTGCTCAATATCACTTTCCTTGCTAGCCAACTGCATCTGTAGCTCATTCTTATGTGCACATTCTTCTACTAATTGCTATTTAAAAAAAAAAAAAAGATAAAGAATCAGATGAATTCTAATAATTTTTAATAACGTCTAACATTAAGAATTACTTGACATATAAATGACAAGTAATTCAAATTTGTGAGCTCTGATGGCCTAGTGGTAAGAAGCTATGCTGGAATCTCAAAAGCTGCTGGTTCAAATCCAGCAACTGTTCCAAAGGAAAAGGATGAGCAATCCCTTCTGTGCAATTCGCTACCTCCGAAAACACACTGACGGGTCACCTATTCAGATGGATCCAACTGAATGGCAAATAATAATCAAAATTACTAAAAACTTAGAGAAAATGTCACAAGTAGTTATACTATCAATACACCTTAAATATGTAAGTTATCTTCTTCAGTAACATATTGCTTCAAATAATGAATGATGACCAAATAAGCTCCTTTTCGTATTGGCTTAATTTAAAAACAAACAAACCAACCAAAAAAATAAACCCCAAAACAACAAACCCACAAGATACTAGGGGGGAAAAAATCTCAAAAACAATCCAACAACCTATTGAATCAACACTTTTGGACAAGCAGCTGCTAATGGAGAAAAATTATTCGAGCTACAATGGCTAATAGGCAATAGTTATTATTAGGTACTATAACAAGGTGGAACCAACTCACAGCTAACCCTCCAGTGGGTTTTCAGAGGGAGTAAAATGAATGGGAGGGAAATGTCCATCTTTCTCCTGGGCTGGGAGAAACTGCTGGATTTGAACCATGTGTCTTAGAGTTATCATTGTAACTCTATCACTAAGCCACCAGGGTCCTTTTTGTTTTCCAAGGTCCTGGCTTATAATGGAGTAAAAATGATTAAACTATGAAGCTAACAAATGGAAAAATACAGTTTATACTTAAAAATCAATCTAAATAAGACCAAGTCAGAATATAGATTAATAACAATTTTCAAATATAATTATATACACATATTCTTGTTCTTTCTCTAATCTTACCGCCTGCATTTCATTCAGTTCCTTCTGATGCTTCACTACCATCTGATTGAATTTCTCTCTTTCCTGGTTGAGTTCTAGTTGCAGTTTTCGATTTTCCTTTTCCTTCTTCCGTAAGTCTTGTGTATTTGCTTTCTTTCTATCAATTTTAAAATCTTTTCGATTCATTATTTCTGCCAGCTTGTTAACAGCCTATTTGATAAAATGAAAAATTTTTTAGTAAGAATATATAATGAAGTCATTAAATTTAAATCTATATTAATATTAGTTTTGTGTGCAAGTAATTGGAGAACCTAATGTAGGCCAAGATAGAATACCTGGTAGGGCAAGTAACTACTGCTGATCAATCTCATTGTTTAAATATAAGAGCCAGACTGGTTGGCAATAATCCACCAGTCATCAATGTTCTAGCACTTATGTAGATACTCCTGACAACAACAGAAAAAGGCCTAACTTTTTAGTGATGCCCCAAAGGGATCTTGGCATAGTGTAGGAGCCAGAGAAGCAGGCATTATAGCACAGTGTTAAAGGATAAAGGCATGCAAGGGTGATACAGGAGCAGTACTTAACTGAGACTTGGAGAGGTCAGGGAAGGCTTCCTGGACTACGTGCACATGTTTCCATGCATGTTTCTTAAGAGTCAAGGAGGAATTGGATAAGCAAAGAGAAAACGGTATGAGAGACAAGTGCCAGGAATGGTGTTATAAGCAGAAGTAAGGGAATTTTTTTTTCTTCATTGCACAAGTAAAAGGGCAGGGGACAGGGCATCTGCACAGGCCCTTTTGAAGGTGAAAAGGAATTAAGTATCATAGTAAGGACCTCCTTCTGCCAGAAGAAAACAAATGCTCAAAATGAGACAGAACAGTGTATGTGAGATTAGCAACATGAATACTGTTAAGTCATGGTCTACATGTTCTACAGTAATGTAAGAAAATGAAAAACAAAACTAAAAGAAAAGTCTAGGCAACATAATATTCCCACAGATTTGGTGCCATCTGGGGTGGTGTTGCTGGAATAAACTTTTTTAATACAGTGCAAGTTTACCCTTCTAAAGCATTTTCATCAATAAAAAAACTAACACATATTCATTTAAAAAAATCAAATGTAGAGATATTAAAAGAAAGAGAAAAGTACTTGTATTATCACACCTCCAAAATCTCTTTAGCAAAGCCTTCTCTCTCTCTTCCAATCTACTGGATGACAACCCTTTTCAAATCTTTTCCCACATATGTAAATACATTCCATATGCATTTAGGGTAAAAGAAAAATGAAAGCAAGTTTTACATCCTTTGCTGAAACTTGTTTTTAAAATTTAACACGATGTACCACAGAAAATACCGCAGCTTGTGCCAATTTTATCCCATACAGCGTTCTTAAGTTCTTAAAAGAGCATAATGCTTAATTAAGGTACACATTTTTTCCTACTTAAACTAAATTATTACTTGGTCTGAAGAAGATTCAGGGGATATTTCTGGCTTTGGAGTACTTAAACTAAAGTATTACTTGGTTTGAAGAAGATTCAGGGGATATTTCTGGCTTTGGATTATGTACTTTTTTTAAAGATTACTCAAATTCTGACATAAATGATTAGAGGGAGAGTAGACTAATAACAAGGAGGCCATGGCTCAATTACTGAAGTATAAAAGATTTTATTAAAAAAATATTTATTAAGTAAAAATGGACTTAGGTACATAGCAGCTTATGAGGAATTTAAATTACTGAACAACAGCAGGTGCATTATTAAGTAGAAAGCAAAACCTGTGCCTATTATTTCCTATATATTGTCAAAACTTTTTTTTCTTTTCTTTTCATAAAGTTTTCTCATTGCCAATTCTAGTAAATCTTGTTCTGTATCATCTAAAACAAGTTCTTAGTAGATAACTTAGTGAAAAAGGTTATTTTCTTAAGTCCATTTTCTGAATGAGTCATATACTGAATGAAGGATATGAACTACACATTGGTTCAATGTAATCATGAACTTGACAGCGTCAGTTAAAAATAGTTCAAGAAAATGAAATTTTCCAAATGTTTTTGCTGCATGTCATTAAGTCGACCCAGAATCCCAGTAAGCCCATGTGACAGGGTAAATGGCCCACAGGCATCACAGTTCACTGGGCTGTATCTTAATAGGAGCAGACCACCAGGTCTTTTCTCACACAGAAACTAGAGGGTCTGAACCCCAACATTTAGGTAAGCAGCCGAGTGTTAACCATTGTGCCACTAGGCACAATAAACAATACCCAAATATATACACACAGAAAAGACAAAGGCATGTTACCTGAGTTTTAAGTGTACGCTCTGTACTGATATTCTTTTCAAAGGTGGCTTTAAGATTGCTTATCTCCTCTTCCTTCTTTAACTTATATTCTATTCAACAAATAATATAAAAGAAAATGTTACTGTTTGGCAGTATTTTAGAAAAATTTCGTTTATTCTAAATTAACAATGGTTTTCATTATTCAAATTAGTATATATTGTTGTTGTTAGATGCCACTGAGTCATAGACCACTCAACAGCAACTCTATGAATGAAAGACCTTGAACATTTGTTTAACTTCCATCATTTCTCCACATTCATAGTTTCTGGTGGCAAGCTATTTTGGAAGTGGATGCCACTCCTGCTTCCAATCTTGTTTTAATTAGGGAGCTCCACCAAACACTGTCCACAATGGGTAACCAATATCATATTTGACACATCAGTGTCACAGTATTTAGCATCACACAGCAGCCACAAATTACCTCTGTACGGCAAACGGACAGACCAGTGCTATACCACTTAGAAGAATGTTTCACCCAAAACAATTAAAACCATGCCTGAGATATTATATATAGTAAAACTTATTAACTTAAGGTAATTGTTAAGGCACACATCATACTATTTTACATATACCTACGCAAATGTGTCAGATACAATGCACAATAGATGATTTAGCATGATGATTAATGATCTAATCAAATAAAATTAAAACCCTGCATACCTTCCTCTGCCTTCTTCATGCTTTCAGTTATCTCTTCATTTTCTTTTCTTAACAATTCAATGTCCTTGGTTAGCATGTTGTTCATTTCTTCTAGCTAAACAAAGCACACATAGGTTTCTGCTATAATTTTTTTGCTATTCAAAGCAGTAATCTTTAAAAGGATACTTCACATTTTTCATAAACAAGGACAATCCAGACATTGGTTAACTACAGAATATGTCTCATTTTCACATTAAAATATGGACAATTTAAATTCAGAACATTTTAAAACAATCATTAACTACCATAATTGTGTAATATGTACATACACACATGCAGATGCATATAATAATATATATGAATCAAAGGAAAAAGACTATAATGAAAAGAAAACTAGACTAAAAACTAGGAAATTTGTATTTGGTTCTACCTCTGTCATCAGTAATGTAACCATCAGCAAGACACAATATTTGAGACTTGATTTCTTATCTGAGCAATGATTAAAAAAGCACAATAGAAGCATCTAGTAATTACTGTTAGTAATACATTTAAAGGTCAATCCACAGTTAATGAATTAATTGCTGAAAGCAACCCTAGGGAGTAACTACCACCATTCCTTCTTTTATAAATCAGGACTCTGAAGCTTTGAGAATTTAAAGCAAAAAAAAAAAAAAAAGAGAATTTAAAGCAAGACTACGTAAAAGTCTCAAGAGCAAAGCTGAAATTAGAATTCTAGCTTGCTTACATCAGAGCACTTGATGGTGTCTCCAAAAGAAAAAAATTCTAACACTTCCCTTTTAAACCCTGTGAGTCTACAGAGATTATATAAACCTTCAGGAACATCAATTTTGTGAATTTTTGGTTTTCCTATAATGGATTTATAGAATTCTTATCTCAGCATGGTTTCTCTGTAATGTTCCAGAATTATGGTCCATTATTCTTGTTAATAGTTGCAATGTATTAAGAGAATATAACAAATGAATTTAAGCTAAGCATTCTTTCATATAAACTGTAACTTAGAAGTTCTATAGCCAGAAAGAAAAGAAGGAAAAGATAAACCAATATACTAAGAAAGAGTTTTAATCAGTAACAACTGTTTCAGCTTATGTGAAATACTTCACACAGGAGTGTAGAATGACCTCTATGTGGTATGTTAAGTAAAATCATATATATCCTCACAACTCTTTAAAATGTGGCCTAATTTGATTTAAACTCACTTTAGTAACATACCTGACAATCAGACTTACCCGACTAACAGCGTGATCTTTATCTGTAATCTCCTGTCTATTTCTTGAAGCAGCTTTCTTGCTTTCTTGGGTCAATTCAAAATACTGCTCTTCCAGAAGCCCTCGAGCCAACTGCTCAGATTCAGCCTTCGTTTCTGCCAGATCCAACTGAGTAGCAAGAGTTTCTCTGAAAAAGATTTACAAAAGCAATTGCTACAAATAAATTCACTTCATTCTTTCTGTTTAACCATATACGTAAAAACAATTACTTACTAAGTGATAAAAACCAAATTTTAAAGTAAAATTCCAAAAATGAACTGTTTTTGAGGTCCCTTTTAGCTCTGAAGTTAAATGAGGCTATGAAGATTATTACTAGATATATAAACTGCAAAATCTCTTTGGGAATTATACTTGAAAGATTAGGAACTGACCACCTGCTTGCCTGTTATTCCTGAAGAGAAGCTCTTGGGTGATTTATTTTGAGAAACAAAACAGCCCTGTTATACAGCAGGTGCTAAATAAATGTTTGAAGACTGAAAAGACCAAATGATGTTCATTGCCTGTTTTTCAGTAATGGAAAAACAAGTCAAAATTTGTTGTTTTGAGCCTAAAGATGGACATAGAGATTAAAGGGAAAAAACCTACAAACAAACATAGACATACACACACACACACAAATCAAGACTATAGGGATAACAGGCTTTCTGTTATCAAGAGTATAAAACATAAAACGGGGGATGGGGTGGCAAAAAAATAATATATATCACAGGTAGCTCAGGCATGAAACCAGTAGCAAGCTGTGCAGCAAACCCAAAGGGTGCATGGCCCCAGTGGGTCCTATCGACCAGCTGCTAATCAGAGGATGAGCAGTTTCTTCTCACTGGGATTAAAAGGAACTCACTTAACAGGAGTGAATGAGTAAATATTTATTATGCTGTGGAGAATAGTAAAAGTGGAAGCGCTATGAATGTGGTGGCTATATTAATAAGATGACCAAGGAGACCTCTCTACTGAGATGGCATCTGAGAAGAAATATTAAAGTGAGGGAGTGTGCCAAATAGGCATGTGAATACACTGTTAAGCAGAGGGGGAAAAGAAATGAAAACTGACAAAAATGAGTGTGAAATGAGCAAAGTGAGAGATGGGGAAAGTAGCAGTAGTAGATAAGAAGGAGTAGGAGTAATAGTGAGAGAAAAGAATGAAGGGGGACTATGGCAAAAGCAGAGATACTAATTTTGAGGCTACTATAATTATCAAGATTAGAGATTATGATGGCTTAGACAAGGGAACACAAATTGTATCATGATCAGAATCTGAATATATTGTTCAGTTACATGTAGGAGATCTGTTGATGAACTGTAAGCATAGAGTGAAGAGTAAGAAAGATTTTAAATTTTCAACTAAACAATTGAGAGTAAGAAAAATTTCTAACTGCTGAAATGAGGAAGATGAGGAAGAGCAGTTGGCAAGGTATGGAAATCAAGCTCTTCTAGATACATTAAGAATGAGATCCTTACGGGACACTCAAGGGGAGAAGTCAAATAGGAAACCAATAAACAAGTGTGGGATTCAAGGGAGAATCCACCTGTATATATGTGCTAAGCTGTAAGTCTAAAGGAGAATCAGCAGGGAGCAACACTTAACCTCTTCAAATTTTAAAGATCACAGAAATTAAAAAGGACAAAGAAGGCCACGAAGGAGAGATTAGTTCAGGAAATGTAAAATTGTGCTCAGTGTCACAAAAACTATGTATTCAAAGTTTTAAAGAGTGAGTAAACAAGTATGCCAGATGCTGTTGTTAGATTAAATCAAATAAAGCCTGAGAAGTAACTATCTATGGTCTTCAACTGTTTGTGAGTCACAGACGAGCATGAGCAGAAGTATTTTGGTAGTGATGAGTATGATGAATGGAGTAAACTCAAATATGAATGGGAAAAGAAAACATGGTGTATCCTATGACTTTGTAGGAGGTTTGCTGTAAGAGAAAGCAGGAAAAGGGCATGGCATCAATAAGTGATGCTAGATCAGATGGCTCTTATTTTATGGTTAAGAATACACAGAACAAAGCATCTGCCATTTCAGCATTTTTCACATGCACAATTTAGTGCAATTAAATATGCTCATCAAGTTGTACAACCACAATGACTCTTTCTAGTTTTTTCATCATTCATAACAGAAGCTTAGTGCCCCTTTAAGGCATGACTTCCTCTCTCCATCACTCTCCTACCCCTGGCAAACATTAATTAACTTTAGTTTTTTTAAAAAAGAATAATTTTTAAAGGGGTTATTTAACTATATGTTTATACAGAAAGTCCCAGGTTACTAACAAAATATAGTCCTATCAGGGTCTTTAAGAAATGTATAGGTTAGCAGAACCACATGGTTCTTATTTAACCTTGTGAGAAAGACTTGATGCTATCCTGATGTTGTACCAAGTTAAGGTGGATACGATGAAGAATTTGTTGTATGCAGGAGTTGGTTCGGTTGTTTTAAAGTGAAGGCAAAATTACAGAGCATTAAATCAGGATTTTCAACATGGCAGCTGGTCATGTAGCTTTGAACGTGTGTAACTTTTCTATAGTCTCACCAATTGGGGAGCTCTGGTGGCCTAGTGGCAAGAAGCTGCAACGACAATCCCAGAGGTGCACGGTTCGAATCCACCAGATGCTCTGCCGGGGAAGGAGGGGCAATCTCCTCCTGTACCAGTCAGATCTGATTTGACGGTACATGCACACAAAAATAATAAAATAAAAAAATAAAAAAATATA